AGGCGCTTTCTTTAGAAGCAGTGTTGAACAGCGTGGTGACACACATCTTGGTTTTGGTTTGGGATGGTTTCCTAATCACTCAGTTCATGACTGTAGTGTTTTAAATTCATTTTACCTTTTGTTTTGGTTTGTTTTAAATGTGTAACATACACATAACAAATTGCTCTTGTAAGTGTAGAGTTCAATGAATCTTCAAACTGTAGCTTATATACTCAACAGCCAAGTCAAGTACAGAATCTGCCTGACCCTCAAAGTCCTTTTATGCTCCTTCCTGTCACTATCCCCCATAAAGTATGGTAACCAATGTTGTGGATTTAAAAAAAAAATTTATCATTATAATTATTTTTAACATTTATTTTGTTTATTTATTTTTATGTGATGCTGAGGATCAAACCCAGTGCCTCATAAGTGCTAGGTGAGCGCTCTACCACTGAGCCACAACCCCAGCCCTATTATTATAGTTGTTATTATTGGTACTAGAGATTGAACCCAGGAGCACTTTTCCGCTGAGCTACAGTCCTTTTTTAGTTTTTATTTTGAGATAGGGTCTCAGCAAATTGCTACAGGTTTTGCTATCCTAGAACTTGCAGTCCTCCTGCCTCAGCCTCTGGAGTCACTGAGATTACAATTGTGCACCACTACTCCTGGCTTTCCTGATATTTAACAGCATGGATTAGTTGTGCCTGATTTGAGTTTTCCATAAGTGGAATCGTGCAGTACGTGTTTGGCCTCTTGTGCTCTACATAGTGAATGTCATCTGTGGTGTTGAGTGTACCTAGAGATGGTTCCTTTTCATTTCTATATAACATTCCATTCTGTGGACATAACCAGTATAGTTTTATTATCTTTACTTTTTGAAAAAATAATATCGCCCTGTCCCTCCAATATGTTTCCTCCTCCCTCCAGTCACTCCTGCTACCCAGGGCCTCACTGTTAGCAGTTTATTGTTTTCTGCCTGGCTTGTTCTGTACATATATAAGTGTATATAACTACCTTCTCCACTCCTTTTAAAAAAATATGCAGTGTAAAAAAAAATTGGGGCTGGGGGTGTAGCTCAGTGGTATAGTTCATGCCTAAACCCAGTGTGAAGCTCTGGGTTTAATCCCCAGCAATGGAAAATAAAAAAGGAAATAAAAAATACACGGTATATGCGGGGTGCAGTGGCACACGCCTGTAAAAAAAAATAGCAGCTCAGGAAGTTGAGTTGGGAGGATGTGAGTTCAAAGCCAACCTCAGCAGTGGTGAGGCACTAAGCAACTCAGTGAGACT